GCCTGGGATTCCTAACAGTAATTTTTGGATTTCTGCATACAGAAGAATAATGACAAAGATTGCTAACAGATGTGCTGTCATTAATATCACAAAATCTCAACCAATAAAAACTTGCCTAAGCCAGATCTCTGTAGCACCATTGCCCCCAGTAAATGAATGGTGTATTTCTGATAATTAGAGCGGCACAGTGGCTTAGTGGTTAGCACTGCTGCCTCACAGCACGAGCAACCCAGCTTCGATTCCACCCTTGGGCAACTGTGTGCAGTTTGCACATTCTCCCCATGTCTGCATGGGTTTTCTCCGGGTGCTCCAGTTACCTCCCATAGTCCAAAATGTGCAGATTAGGTGGATTGGCCATGCTAAGTTGCCCATAGTGTCCAGGGATGTGTAGTTTAGGTGCATTAGCCATGGGAAATGCAGGCTTACAAGGATAGGGTAAGGGGATGGGTCATGTGGGATGCTCTTCGGAGGATTGGTGTAGACTTGGTGGGCCGAAAAGCCTGTTTCCATGCTGTAGGGATTCTGAGGAGTTGGGACGTCTTGTTGCAGTCGTACAGGATATTGGTGAGGCTACTTTTGGAGTACTGTGTACAGTTCGGGTTGCCCTGCTATTGGAAGGATATTGTTAAATTAGAGTGGGTTCAGAAAAGATTTTACCAGAATGTTGCCAGGATTGGAGAGTTTGAGTTATAAGGATAGGCTGGGACTTTTTTCACATGTGCATAGTAGATGACCTTACAAAGGCTTATAAAATGATGAGAGGCGTAGACAAGGTGAATAGCAAAGGTCTTTCCCCTAGTGTGGGCGAGTTCAAAACTAGGGGGCGTATTTTTAAGGTGAGAAGAGAAAGATTTAAAAGGGACTGAGGGGCAAATTTTTCATGCAGAAGGCTGTCCGTATATGGAATGAACTGCCAGAGGAAGCAGTAGATGCAGGTATAGTTACAGCATTTAAAAAACATTTGGACAGGTACATGAAGAGGAAAGATTTAGAGGGATATGGGCCAAGTACAGGCAAGTGGGACTGGTTTAGTTTGGCAAACTTGGTCTGCATGGATGAGTTGGACCGAAGGGCCTGCTTCTGTGCTGTATGTCTTTGTGACTCTATGGTCCAGAAGATGGAATACTAGGATCCCAATTTTCAGATTGAAATAGATGAACACTATTCTTTTTCACTCCATAATACTGGATCCATTTCAAAATGTTTCTTTCTCAGGATTAGTGGAGCCATAGAGGAACCATATTGTGTTCCTACTACCTCCATTAATGATGCATGGACCTCATGGAAACTGGTTTATAATTGACTGAGTGATTCACACTTAAACACTAAGCATTCTCAGCAGGTCAACCTCAAGATTAGTGTATTTCACAAAGCCGGTATTTGGAATTGTTTTACATTATATTTCCCTGAACATCCCAAGTTTAGAGTGCCCAGAGACTCTTTGACCCTTATTCAAAATCTGTTGTTGCTGCTGTCGCATCTAATGCCCACATGATGGTGCCACATGACAGAAATAAGTTTTGTTCTGGTGAGTAAATATAATTCAATCATTAATGCAGGTTTAAAAAAATGTAGTTAAAGTTAGCATTGTTTATTACTAACAAGTAGGCTGGTACCAGAAACAAACACAGAAAATGCTGGAGAAACTCAGCAAGTCTGGTAGCATCTGTGGAGAGAGATACAGAGCTAGTTTTTGAATTTGTTATGGACAGATCACACCCCCTCAAGATATATTAAGAAGATAGTTTAGACCGTAACTTTTTATAGTTTTAAAGGTAAGTGTAAGGTGTTGCATTCCTAATGCAATTTGATTGGTGAAACTACTTAAGCAAAACACAAGGCCTGGATTTGAGCAGACTGCTCAATACCTTTGTCTCAATCTTTCTTCATTAAAAACAAAGGACAAAATACACTTCTTAAAGTCACAGTATTGTCACAAATCCAATATGACTCTTCTTCAGAGCTGACCTGAAAGTAAGTTCCAGTTCATGGGACACTGACATTAGTAATGAAATGATGTGGTTAATGAAGAGTAGAGCCAAGACCAAAGGAAGATATGGAGAGTACAAATCTAAGAATAAACCAATAAATAAGATTAGAAATTGCAAAAAATTAAAATAGTAAACCTAAACAGTCTAGGCAGAATCTTACCACGCCTGTGCAATGTGGGCTATGGTGAGATTTATGGCAGAATCATGCAATCAGTCTGGCAAAGCCTATCTCACTCCATCTTTTATGCACTTGCCAAGCAGTGAGGCAAATTTCTCACTAGACAACAGCAATTTGCAAATTAAGAAGTATTATAGCTTGTTAAGTGCCTTATTAAATCCACAACTCACCTTATTAATAGTCAACTTCCTATCTTCCCAAATGCACTGTGCAAACTACACATCGAGAATGCTCACAGCTGGCTGCAAGGAGCCTCCATTTTGCTCAGCACCTAACAGCATCTTAGGACATAACCTATGGTCACCAACCACATGCAACTTCTCATATATGGAATTTGGCATTCGACATTTGTCAAAGTCTCCCAACCATCTTGACACGTCTCTGATCAACTTGTAGGATGCTTAGGAAGCAGAGACTTTCATTGCAGAGTACACCAATAACTAGCAATGAAAGGCCACTGCAAGGACACTATTGCAGGGCAGTCACCTAGCTCTCAGAATGGACCAGGGTGCAACTCAAGTCTGTTCGCTTAGTGTTTTCATGATTGTTCATTTAGCGCGTACCTGCATACTTGCAGCACCCATGCAAATTAATTAAACAGGTATTTTGCATTGGTATGCTCTATAGTGGATGCAAGTAATATCCCAGAAGCAGTTTTAAGTTAGGAAATTGAAGGGAGGGAGAGACTCAAAAATTACAGTCACCACAGAAACATATAGAATAAAATGTTGGAGCTGTTGGCTAACAACTGCCCGTATCCTGATGGATTTCATGCTAGCGTCTTAAAAGAGGTTGCGAATTTGACATAACTTGGCAAAACTTCCCTGATTTGGGGAAAGACCCTTTAGATTGGAAGAAAGCAGTCTGGTATCATTATTCAAAAGGAAGGAAAGCAGATAGCAGGAATCAACAGGCCAGTTAGCTCAACATCTGTCATTGGGAAAATGATGGAAGCTATTTTTAAAGTTGTTAAAACAGGAATATTTGGGTAAGTTCAAGATAATCAGGCGGATCATTACTATTTTGTGAAAAGGAAATCATTTTGAATCAATCGATTGGAGTTCTTTGAGGAGATAATGGGTGGGGATAAAGGATGACCAGTGAATGTACTGTGGTTAGATTTCCAGAAAGCATTTGAGAAAGTATCACATCGGAAGCCATTTATGAAAATAAAAGTCCATAGTGTAGTTGGTGGAATATTTGTGGAAATAAATGACTGGCTAGCAAGCAGGAAGCGTAATGCATGGATAAATGGGCCTTTTTCATTTTGGCAGGAAGTAAGGAATGGTGTGTGAGGAATTGGTACTGAGACCTCAACTTCTTATGTTTTATATAAATGAGGTGGATGGAGGAGTGGAAAGTTTGGCTGCCAAATTTGCTGATGACACAAAGATAGGTAGGTTGTGTGACTACCATGTCCAAGTTAAGCAATTTCGTAGATCCCAAGAAGTATAGAAGTTATATTAGTGAGGCACTTCTCATCTTAGAGAAGCATCCTGGATAGCAGTATATTTTAGAGATCCTTCAACTCTTAGGTTCCTAAGTGCAGCCAAGACACAGCACTTTAATGTGGAGATAACTGGCTCCCAAGGTAATGTGAGCACTTTGTAGTAGGGTCGTGCCTCCACTCATGTTCCATACTTTTGGCTATCTTGTGTGTTTTTAGGATATAATCATTCACGAGTGCACACTTTTATGAATGCAAAGGTTCGTTATAACTTTGCACTGAGTGAGGGAGTACAGACTCATTCAAGTATTGATGATAATCAAAACTCACCTACCATCCAAGGCCAGCCTCATAGCAGAAACATATGCATGATACTTCAGCAGACCAAAAACACTAATACTCACTTCTCTTCAAGTGAATGTGCTGATATGAACATTTCTTCCTTATTGTGCAGTTGAAGTTTGAAGTCTGGTTGAAGATTGCGCACTTTCCATGTCATGTTCCAATGAGTGAGTTCCAGGCTCCACCAATAATCAAGATTCTTCACCTGTCCCTCCCCACACCAAACCTTCATGTACCATTTTACTGCTGTCTTTGTCAACCCCATCAGCATTCAGGCTCCTCACATTCCTTTTAACAATCAATCTCCGTAATCCTCCTCCTCAGCTGTTGGCTTGCCATATTATAATGCAGTTTCTTATCTGACATTGATATCAGAATGCTATTGACAGTTGCTATGGTGAGTCTATGTTTGGCATGAGAATGAGAGACGGTAAAATATGCAAGTATTTCTAAAGTGCATTTTAAATGCCTCAATGTCAGCATTTCATCTTACTTCAGTTTCAAAAGTTATTTAAATGACTTAATCCTTTCTCATTTTAGAAACCAGTTCCGCATGAAAAGCAGGATGAGTAGGATTGTTGCAGATGTCATCTGTACTAGCACCAAAGGCAACCTTTGACCAATGACTGCAAGTCCCCACACGTCCTCATCTGAAATGTTGTGAACCAAATTCTTAAAGCGAAACAATATCTTTCCAGCTCCTACACCACTTGACTTTCCACCTCAATGCACTAAAACACCCTCCATCACACCCACAAAGGGGAAGATTGTCTATAGCAGGTACAAATAACATTGGGAGTCCATTGTGAATATGTATTCAGTGTGCACTGAAGAAAGTTGAGTTTGTTTTGTGAGGAGCTACATTGATTGATAAGATGTAGTTCAATGCAAGTTTAGCACAATATTCACCACCAGGATAATCTATCTAGATATTTTTTAATTTAGTGATAGTAAGAGTTTACTGCAAAAAGCTTCAGGTGAGATAATTGGACTTTAAGATTTTTAAGTAGTTTTAATGGTTTATTTTATTTCCTTTTTGTAGATATTCGGGAATTTTATGAAGTGACCTTAACTGCTGCGCTCAAACCTACTGATCATAATCTTCTAGCAAGCAATCTATTTTCAACTGAGATGGGGAGGAAATCAACATTTACAAGGATTGAATTTCTCAGTTTAGAGGTGAGTAACTTAATTGTCTACACAAAAACAATAAAATTGCAAGCTCTGGGAATCCCAAACAAGAACAGGGAATTGAAAACATTTAACTGGTCAGGTAACATCTGTGAAGTATAGTTAGATATAGTCTTAGGGCTAGAAGGTTTAAAGGATTTGAGGAGAAAGCAGGAACAGGGTACTGAGATGGATGATCAGCCATGATCATATTGAATGGCAAAGCAGGCTTAAAGGGTTAAATGGCCTACTCCTCATATTTTCTGTGTTGCTGTGTTGTATATAGATTAACGATTCAGGTGCAAAGACATCATCAAAAATCAATTGATCAAAATGTAAGACAACAAGGTGCAGGGCTGGATGAACACAGCAGGCCAAGCAGCATCATAGGAGCAGAGAGGCTGACGTTTCGGGCCTAGAAAAAACGTAGGTGGATTTTTTTCCGCCTTTTAAGTAATGTACATTTTGATCAAAGATAGTAGGAACTGCAGATGCTGGAGAATCCGA